TGTGCCTCTAGTGCCAGCGGCGTGTCTGAAGTGTATTTTTTGGCTGTGACAGACCTTTCTTTGTTTCGTGGATGTTTTGCTGGCTTGTGATGGGGTGTGAACCGACAGTCTGTAGAGTTTTGCATCTGGTGTGGGTGAGTGATAGTCTACTTTGATTTTTGTTAAGGTAGATTATCATTTACAGTGTAATCAGTGAGGGGATTCTGCAGACTGTTGAGGGTTCAGCCTCCTGATGAGACGGTGAAACTCCGACGAAATTTGCATGGAACTTGATGAAAGTGCACTTTTGCCTTGCAGTTTTATAGTGTTTTTTTTTTTTTTTTTTTTTTTCAATTAGTTAATATGGTGTCCACTCTATGAATTGGTGGCAGATTTGGTCAAAATGATCTTTGGGTATTGTTATAAATGGCGCGACAAATTGTGTGAAAATTCTGGCTTCCGTTAACCATCTCTCCCCCCCTACCCACCTCCTTTGTTAAAACATGCTCATTCTGGTGTCTGAAGAATTCCACTCAGTATCCACCTGTTGGCTAGCTTTCCACCCCGGGCGCACGAGGTACCCCACCATGCCCGGAATGGCGCCCGGGGCGCCCAGCCGGCGGGCCCCCCGAGCAGGTACCCGGGCGCCTCTCGCAGCAAGGCAGAAAAAGCCTCAATTTTTTTTGTTTTTGCCGCAGGCCCGCAGCCCTATTCCAAACGTGCCAACTATGTCTTTGGCGGTTGGTGCGTTTTTTTGGGGGTCCGGTACGCCCTGTTTTGTAGGTTTTTTATTTTTTGAGGGATTCCGGCCGTCGATCTGCATAGATCGACGGTGCGCGCTGGTACAGGATTCAAATTCGCCCCTTCCTGCACCCCCTCGCCCCCCCCAACCCACAGAAATCAACATGCATGAAAATAAAAAAAACAGGCCAGATTTGGGCACTACTCCCAAAGCGCAGCAAGGTCTGGCGGTGAAAAAAAAAAAAAAAAAAAAAAAAAAACTTGGTGGTTTTTTTGCATGCCCGGGGTACCCCGGGCGTGGTCCCTACCCGGCCGGGCGCCCCGGGAAAGCTAGCCTGCTGGTCAAATGTTCTGAGAATGTTCTCCGCTGAAAACAGAAATTGAAACTCCACTCATTCCGGCCATATTCCAGGCCAGGCCCCCATTATCTATTATTTTTGCTGCGTGATTCCGTTTCGGCCGTTGTAGGCCAGGTTCAGATTTGTCTGTATGTCGGACTGGACCAGGCATTTGTTTGTTTGTGCCTGGCCCGGTCCCTAGGACCCTGCTGCATCAGCAGGATTGCCTGGATGTCCGGTAGGGACCCAGGCAGGCCGTTTTTGGCCAGGATCGTAGGACCAGGACCGGGGCCTGCGATTGGGACCGTCGATCGGACATCAGATCCAACGGTCCTGATCACAGACCGAGGACTGCTCAGTGTTGCATACCGTATACGTGCAGACCAGAACAAGAACCGACCTTTCAATACAAGGTATAAGATAGCACAGCGGAAGACTTAGATACCAGTGATCCGAACAATCAATGTTGTAATGCAGCCCTGAACATACATCATCATCATCGTTTCATAGTGTGAATGGGTCTGGCGCTCCACACAGGAAGACAGCGCCAGCCCAGAACATGCACAGAGGAGCAGGAAGACAGCGCCAGCCCAGAACATGCACAGAGGAGCCCAAAACAAAACCATTCACCCCTACCTGGTCTGGAGGTAAGAACCACCTACAAGATGCTGCGCCCTAGAATAAACCTCAAGGACATTGTAAGGAAAAGATGGATGACGCAGCTGAACGTTGGAAAGGAAGTGATCCAGCCTATTTTCTGGTTTACTGCGACCAGGACCAAACCGGCCAAACTGGCCTCCCTGCAGTCGCAGATAGAGCACCGCTGCCTACCCACCAACGATTGGCTGATCAACCATATGAACCTGGAACAGAGGGGGGTGGCAGTCCCATGGTGCAAGTCCTGTCAGAACAGCTTTCCCTCCCGTAAAATCGCAGAGACCATTGAACACATATTTCTGCAGCG